TCAGCCTCCTATCCAAAGGGTACCAGGTTCCTTTCCCTGGGGTAAAGCGCGGCCAGGGTGTGATGCTGACCTCTCCCCCAAGTGCCTACATGGCGTATAGTGGGACAGCTTTACTTTAATATTATTTAACTGCATTTATGTAGTTGAGTAATATATTAATTTAGTTAGGAAGAGTAACTTATTTGTACCTCCAAAGTGTCTGTTGCTGAGTTCACGATATTTGAAGAGTATCTCTAACGGCTTGATCGCGTTGTCGTACACTCTCTTCAGTTCCTTGAGAGTTGCGTCCACGGTTTTAGCGAGAACCATTTCTTTCTCGATGGACTCCGGATCGAGCCGCAGTATCTGTGCAACATGGTCCCGTGGCCGGAGATTTTCTGGAATTTCCACTTCCTAAAGTATCAATACCAAACATATTGACAGACATTTTGAATAAATCTTAAACAGTAATAGTACCGGTTAGTTATCGTCAGACTGAGCGATCGTATTCCGGGATATGACTTCATGTAACGTGTCTGGTGCTAGGTCTTTTGTGCGTTCTTTACCTGTCTTATGGGTGAATGAGTCTTACACAGTTTTTTTAATTAATTTTAAAATGTGTTTTGGTTCCACTGAAAATCTTGAGAACAAGGAAGGTTTTGCATTGTTTTCGCACAACAAAATACAAAAATTAAATTTGGTCGTCGAGTCTTAAAGAAGTAGCCTGTAATACTACAGGTTGTCTGATCGTGGCTATAAAATGCTGTGTAGAAATTACCGTGTGCTTGAAAACTATCAGAAATGTTTAAGGTTGTAATTAATCACATTTAACCAATTTATGAGGACATATGTTATTACTTTTTACTGCTGTGCCGTGAAGGTCTGAATTAGTTTTTTTTAAAGAATTCTTTAGGATTCCTAATGGTCAGTTAGAACATTCACCACGAGTGTCTGATTTTTTTTTAAGTTTTCTGAAAAATTGAATCATGATTTAAAATGGTCCAGTTTTGGAATATTCTACTTTAAGGTGTTGATGGATTTTGCTTGTTACTTTAACAAATCTTAGGCTTTGTTTGTATTTCTTGTAACTTACCAGAGTTAATTCTTCTTGTTCTGGTATCGATTCTGGAGGCGTCGCCTCTCCGCCTGTGAATTTAAACAGAGTTTTACATGTAATTTCAATACTTTATAGAAGTTTGGATTCGACACAATCCGTAAGTAGGAAACTAACTTAAGTCCGCAGAGCGTAGCTCCTGAGAAGCTGGTCGTCGTTCTTTTATGGAACCCGAAGGCTCACTTCTGGCCGTTATCGTGAGTCAGTTACTCGTTTAATTTCTGGTTATTTTAACTTGGCCAGTTATTGAAATATTTTACTGGCTACAGAACCACATTGAAAAGATTATATGATTTATGTTATGTGTTTGATTTATATTTCATGTGAACTGTTAACGGAGACTTCCCCTCCTCCGGGAGAATCTAAGCTGAGACTAAATTGGATAGGACGTCATCGTGATTACATCAGTGCATCGTTAATTCTTTGCCCACTAGGTCAACTGTCTTATTTATTTTTGGCTCCGATCTCACCACCTGTGGGCATTGTATCAAAATTGAAGCTCTTAATATAACCAGGGTTCACCTTTTCAGATTTCTGGTGGTCATAAATGCCACTTTTCTTCCTTTTAAAATTCACTGGATGTGCCACGTTACTTGTGAAATAATTTGTGAGAAAGTCGTCTTCTGAGAAATTTGCGTTTTCCATCAAGAGGGGTGTGTGAAAGGTAATTTTGCTGAAATGGGGTAAGAGGATTCTGGGATCAAACACATTCAAATGACAAGTATACATGAGGACAGGCTTCACAGCTATTCTTTAGAAACACGCCAGAATTGTTACCATTCCTTGGAATCCCACCAATAAGGAGGCTTTAATTAATACTGATTTTGACTTCCTATTGAGTTTTCCTATCAGATTTTTCCGACTGTGCCGTCATCACACTGAGTAATTTCTGTTGGCAAAACCCAGAGTGGGACATGTTCCAAAATGGAAAGCAGAGATGCTTACGGAACGTTAATAGGGAAGTGCTGGAAAGGTACAACCTGGGGCATGGGCGTAGGTAGTAAGAAAATGTTTAAATGCATCTTAAGTACTCGGTATAGGGCCCATGGTGTATTATTGTGACTGCGGTAATGAATATTGGAGTTCAACGTAAGGTGGAAATGGGTCTCGTGTAGCTGGGCTACTATCAGCTTCTCTTGTATGGAATTGTATAATAAAAGAATGTCAAAGTTAAACTCAAGGTTCCGTAAAAGTCACGGTGTTTCTTGACTAGAAGAAATAACATCTTATTTTGGAAGCTCGTGTGTCGTATCATCATGTTGGCCGTGATTGTTTACTATTCTGTCCGCCAGGGTTTTATATCTCCATGTTAAACCATTTAAAACAGAACATTATATTACGTATTCTGGCGTTGGACTTGTGTGTTGGCCCCTCTCCTTGAATGCAAGATTTTGTCTTTATTTATGTTAGTGTGTTTCAAACGTCTACGTTCATTTCTCGTATCACGCATTTAAGGATTTGTATTTATGTTAGTGTGTTTCAAACGTCTACCTTCATTTCTGGTATCACGCATTTAAGGATTTGTGGTTTTGCAGTTTTCGTAATTTAAGGTTAGAATAGGCACTGGTAAGGGTAAGTTCCCTTAACAGATATTTGAGCTTAGAAGTTTCATATGAAATTAACAAGATAGGACCTAATAAATACGGCTTAAGTCGTTGGTTATTCAACTAACGCATATGCCCGTAACGTCACATATGTAATGTTAGAGTCGCCTTCGTTCTCACTTTACTGCTCATCGCGAGAGGGCGTGCTATGTGAGGAGCCCCAGGACGAGATGTTTTATGTGGTACAAGTTCACTATAACAAGCCGTGGGGTCTCTTTTACTTAAAGGAAACAGTTGGATTTAACGTGGCAACGTAAATCGCCAGTGGCAAACAAATGTTTTTTTAAAGAGGTATTGTTAAAAATGCGATGAAAACGATGAATCTCGAGTTAATTTTTGTTTCTTGCAAGAATGTTCGATTTCCGCAACATTTTGTTTCTTATTTTTGTCATCGGAATAAATGTGAGGTACCTGCGACCTGTCTGACGTATGTTTGTAAGGGTGAAAGACTAAGCCGTGGCCTTCTTTAGGTGCTCTCAAGGCCAACACTGTCCGCCTGTCCAGCCGGTTGCATCGATTGAATTCGGACCGAATGTTTCATAACACTGCATAGAAACATGACAACTTCGTCGGATCACGTACAGAGATAAATGTGTTTTGGAACTTACCTTCAGCAGAATCACCGCCTTCGGCGCTCTGCCCCTCCTCAGCACTTGGAGCAGCCTCTCCAGCAAGTTGTTGCTCTTCGCCTGACTCGACACTGACCTCTTCGCCACCCGGTGACGCTTTCGGGCTTTCTTCTGCGGTTGGTTCAGCAAGTGGCCCTTTCTCTGTCTCTTCAGAGCTTTCTTTTTCCGTTTCCTCGGCAGACGGTTCTTCGTCACTCGCTGCTCCTCCTCCAGTCGCGTCTTTGACGCCGATAGCGTCGCCAGTTGCACTTTCCTCTTCGGAACTTCCCGAAGCACCTTCCTCAGCGCTGGTTGCTTCTCCTTCCTTGGCACTTGTGGCATCTTCAGAACTTTCTGCGCTAGCTCCTTCATCAGCCACTGGGCCTTCTTCGGGACTTAAAACGCCTTCGCCTCCGGTAGTTGTGTCCTCCGTGCTTGGGGAGGAGTCTGATCCCTCCTCGGTGCTTTTTTCACCTTCAGCTGCAGAACTTTCTTCTGCACTTGCTCCTTCCTCTACACTTTCTCCTTCAGCTACAGAACTTTCTTCTGCACTTGCTCCTTCCTCTACACTTTCTCCTTCAGCTACAGAATGCACTTGCTCCTTCCTCTACTTTCTTCTGCACTTTCTCCTTCAGCTGCAGAACTTTCTTCTGCACTTTCTCCTTCAGCTGCAGAAATTTCTTCTGCACTTTCTCCTTCAGCTACAGAACTTTCTTCTGCACTTGATCCTTCCTCGGAACTTTCTCCTTCAGCTGCAGAACTTTCTTCTGCACTTTCTCCTTCAGCTGCAGAACTTTCTTTTGCACCTTCAGTGTCTTCGTCGCTTGCTTCTCCTGCTGGGCCACCTTCCTCGGCACTTCGTTCTTCACGAATGCCTTCACCGCCTTCCTCAACACTCTGACTCCCTGCTTCTTCGGCGCTCGTCGAATCTTCTCCGGCAACTTCCTGTGACTCGGCGCTGGTTTCTGCTACGTCTGAGGGAGACCGCTGCTTCTCTTCGTTTATCCCCGAGTCTTCAGCTGAAGCGACCTCTGTCTCTGCAGACGCTTCTTCTGTCGAAGATCGGTCGCCCTGTCACGGAAACAGACCTTGTAAGTTCTAATAATCTGTGGCGGCGGAAAAGTTGTATACGGAAAATGTGATCAGATGTAAAAAGCACAAAGCAATTCTGTTACTACCAGTTAAAATGTTACGGTCCGTTCCATGGGTAGAAAGAAGCATAGGTCGTCTTTGACCGAGATATTTATTCAGATTGCCCCCACAATTACTAATCTCAAGACGAAAATGTTTTTCGGGCAAACCTTTGTAGAGAGAGAGATATTTGGGGAAATTCAAGACATGGACTGAAGCAGGGAATGTTACTTTGGTGCGGTTGGCAGTAGTGCACAGACAAATATGGCGACAACGTTTCTCTACAAATGGCAGCGTTCGTGAGTCCTTGCGCGTAACGCTACTGTACTGGAGTTAAGGAGGTGAACAGAAGAGGTTTCGCTCCTCTTTAAAGGCTCGTGTGACACTTCGAAAACCGAAAAATAAAATATTTCCCGTGTAGCGTTCTCGGTTCAGTGGTAGTCCTTACATTTGAATACAGCAGAAGTGATCGGATAAAATGTAACGTTAGCCAGTTAATCGAGGCTAACTGGCATAATTTTTGTGCAAAATCACGCACTTCCCCCTTATTTTGGATCGTACTCTGCATGATTGTTTATGCACTGCTGCCAACCACACTAACTACTTCCGTAATCTTTTTTTCTCTCTCGAAACTTCTTTCTATTAGATTGTCGGCAATAAATTTCCCTTTTTGGATAAATGAATGTGGGTCGTCTGTGTATAATAATGAATGTTTGACATCTTAAGGGCCCTTTAAATGCTGTTGTGCGTGTCCAGTAGAGATTTGTGGATCATCCGTAGGTTGTGTAAACCCCAGGGGCACCTGAGTAAAATCTCGCTCTTCAGGCAATTGGTTGCGATTATACTGACATATTTATTACTTTTTTGGGGATTTAGCAGTACATGCCGATCTGACAAAGTGATTTGAAAGTACTGTTTGGGCTCAGCGCTTAAAACTTTAACAGTTTGAAGACGATAATCTGTGTAGGATTTGAGGTTATGTGAGGTGAGGTTAGGTTATGTGAGGTTAGGTTAGGTGAGGTTAGGTTATGTGAGGTTAGGTTAGGTTAGGTTATGTGAGGTTAGGTTAGGTTGTCCGTAGATGGCAATATTCTGGGTTGTGGCGATCACAGCCCTGATGATAGAGGCAGCAAGGACCTCTGAAACGTTGGTAAACTTCAACCAGACTACAAGACGCAGCAACAAAGAAGACTGCCATCTTCAGGGATAATCTAGTTAGCAACACTGGCTTAGTGCATGTTTATCTGTAATTAATAAATCTAAGCTGTCGTGTTCTATTCAAATTGGGTGCAGGGTTCGGACCGAGCTGTTACAGCAGAATAAAATGGAAAGTTTTTCCCCCCCAAAAAATTGTCGGTAATGAAGGCACTGAGTTTCGATAAATTGTTAATAGTCGGGGGGGTCATCTCAGGCCAGATCGATGAAGGGGTCTTTGTAAAGAATCTTCCTGTGATTTCGAACGCTCCTTGGGGTGTCGTGTTGAATCGGTCTGTGGTTCGTTGCCAGTGCATGCGACAGTCGTGAAACGCCTTTCCGATACCTGCTCGTCGGATGTCGTCACTTCCGGTCCTCCAGAGAGCTCCTGGCTGTCACCTTCGGTCGTTTCTGCAAAAGTAGAGACAATTTCAAAGCGATTACTAAGCTATTTTGTTATATATTTCTCGTCGTTTAATAAAAATTACTTTCTGGGTTAGGGGACTGGAAAATACGAAACGATAATTTTGCCTGTTGTTTTGTATGGGTGCGAAACATGGTCTCTCACTCAGGGGGAGGAACACAGATTGCAGGTGTTGAGGAGGATATTTGGGCCTAGGAGAGAAGACGATGGGGCGTGGAGAAAACTGCATAATGGCGATCTTAAAAATCTGTACTCCTCCCCCAATATTGTCAGGGTGATTAAGTCG